TTCCATCACCTGTGACATCCACAACTGGGCATTGTTTTCGCTTTGGCTCCATCCCTTCATTCTTCCTGGTGTTATTTCTCCACTCTTCTCCAGTAGTATATTGGGCACCTACCGACCTGGGGAGTTCATCTTTCAGTGCCATATCTTTTTGCCTTTTCATACTGTTCATGGGGTTCTCAAGGCAAGAATACTGAAGTGGTTTGCCACTGCCTTCTCCGGTGGACCACATTTTGTGAGACCTCTCCATGATGACCCATCTCTCTTGGGTAGCCCTACACATCATGGCTCATAGTTTCACTGAGTTAGACAGATTATGGTCCATGTGATCAGTTTGATTAGTTTTCTGTGGTTGTGGTTTTTATTCTGTCTGCCCTCTGATGGATAAGGATAAGAAGCTTATGGAAGCTTCCTGATGGGAGAGACTGACTATGGGGTAAACTGGGTCTTTTTCTGCTGATGGGTCATGCTCAGTAAATCTTTAATCCAATTATCTGTTGATGGGTGGGGCTGTGTTCCCTCCCTCTTGTTTGACCTGGGACCAAACTATGGTGGAGGTAATGAAGATAATGGTGACCTCCTTCAAAAGGTCCCGTGCATGCGGTCCCAGCAATGCAGTGCCACACTCAGTGCCCCTGACCCTGTAGCAGGCTTCCACCAACCCACACCTCCACCAGAGACTCCTGGACACTCATAGGCAAGTCTGGGTCAGTCTCTGGTGGAGCCACTGCTCCTTTCTCCTGGGTTCAGGTGCACACAAGGTTTTGTTTGTGCCCTCCAAGAGTCTGTTTCCCCAGTCCTGTATTAAGTTCTGTAATCAAACGCCTTTGCTACACTCAATATGCCAGCAAATTTGGAAAACTCAGCAGGAATCACGGGACTGGAAAAGGTCAGTTTTCATTCCAATCCCAAAGAAAGGCAATGCCAAAGAATGCTCAAACTACTGCACAATTACACTCATGTCACAACCTAGTAAAGTAATACTCAAAATTTTCCAAGCCAGGCTTCAACAGTTTGTGAACCATGAACTTCCAGATGTTCAAGCTGGTTTTAGGAAAGGCAGAGGAACCAGAGATCAAATTGCCAACATCCGATGGATCATCGGAAAAGCAAGAGAGTTCCAGGAAAGCATCTATTTCTGCTTTATTGACTATACCAAAGCCTTTGACTGTGTGGATCACAACAAACTGTGGAAAATTCTGAAAGAGATGGGAATACCAGACCACCTGACCTGCCTCCTGAGAAATCAGTATGCAGGTCAGGAAGCAACAGTTAGAATTAGACATAGAACAATAGACTGGTTTCAAATAGGAAAAGGAGTAGGTCAAGGCTGTATATTGTCACCCTGCTTATTTAACTTATATGCAGAGTACATGATGAGAAACGCTGGGCTGGATGAAGCACAAGCTAATCAAGAATCCTGGGAGAAATATCAATAACCTCAAATATGCAGATGACACCACCCTTATGGTAGAAAGCAAAGAACTAAAGAGCCTTTTGAGGAAAGTGAAAGAGGAAAGTGAAAAAGTTGACTTAAAGCTCAACACTCAGAAAACTAAGATCATGGCATCTGGTCCCATCACTTCATGGCAAATAGATGGGGAAACAATAAACAAAGTGGCAGACTTTATTTTTGGGGACTCCAAAATCACTGCAGATGGTGACTGCAGCCATGAAATTAAACGACGCTTGCTCCTTGGAAGGAAAGTTATGACCAACCTAGACAGCATATTAAAAAGCAGAGATACACTTTGCCAACAAAGGTCCGTCTAGTCAAGGCTATGGTTTTTCCAGTAGTCATGTATGGACGTGAGAGTTGGACTATAAAGAAAGCTGAGAGCTGAAGAATTAATGTTTTTCAACTGTGGTGTTGGAGAAGACTCTTGGGAGTCCCTTGGACTGCAAGGAGATTCAACCAGTCCATCGTAAAGGAAATCAGTCCTGAAAAGGACTGATGTTGAAGCTGAAACTCCGATACAAAGAACTGATTCATTTGAAGAGACCCTGATGCTGGGAAAGATTAAAGGCGGGAGGAGAAGGGGATGACAGAAGATGAGATGGTTGGATGGCATGACTGGCTCAATGGACATGAGTTTGAGTAAACTCCAGGAGTTGGTGATGGACAGGGAGTCTCGTGCTGCAGTCTGTGGGGTGGCAAAGAGTCAGACATGGACTGAGCTCCTGAACTGACTGAACTGAATCAAATCCCACTGCTCTCCAAAGTCAAATTCCCTGGGGATTCTACTGCTATCACTCCGGTCTAAACTGAACCACCATCATGTCTCAGCAGGATACTACTATAACTATACAACCAGGCTTCCAAAATCCTGGCTCTGCCAAACCCACTCTCTCAAAATCCTCCAGTAATTTTTCATTCCACTCAGTTTGAAATCAATATTCATAGTTAAGTGTCTTCAAGACTCTATGAGATCTCCACCCTACCCTGCCCTTGGCCACTCCTCCCCCAGCACCTTTTGATCTTATCTTCTTCTATTTTGTTCTTGTTTACTGTACTCTAGCCACACTGGCCATGTGTCAAGAAGTCAAGAAGTCAAGGAACACTTCAACCTCAGAGCCTTTTACTAACCATTATGCATGCCTGGAGTACCCATCTCCCCCACCCACCAACCCCAACACCACCACCCCCTCCCCTGCAGCCATATTATCATGACTCATGCCTTCAAGAGCACTTTGTCTGTTATCACTCTGGTCTTCTTGGACTATTTATTTATCTACTGCTGCACCTCTAGGCATGTGGGATCTTAGTTCCCTGACCAGGGATCAAAAGTGGGCTCCCTGTATTCGAAGGCAGACTCTTAACCACTGGACCACCAATTTAAAACAGTGCAAGCACCTTCAATCCAAGCACCTTCACTCCAACCCCTCTCTCAGTCTTCCCTGCATTATTTTCTCCCTGGCACTCATCATCATTTGACTTACTTCTCATTGACTTTGTTTTAAGCTGTACATGGGCAGGAAACTGTTTCTCATGTACACTGCTATATCCCTAGGATAGTGCCTGGCATTCATTTGTTGAATGAATAAGAAACCCAAATGCCCAATAAACAGAGGGAAAAAAATGCTCAAACTCACTGGTAATCAACAAAATATAAATTAAACAAAAATGAGAAATGAGATACTATTTCACAGTTAAATATTATCAATTTTTGTCAAAGATGTGGACAACAAAACAAGTTCTTGGTGTTGGAGGCAACACACAGCCACATAAGTATTTTAGAAAGCCATTAGGCAATATCAAGAACAGCTAAGCAACTATATGCCAATAAACATTAAAAAAAAAAAGAGCAGCTGTAAGAGGGCAGTCCTAAGATTCAACAATTTCACTTCTGGTGTATATAAAAAAAATTATCAAGGATGCTCAAAGTGGCATAATTTGTAAAAGTAAAAAATCTGTAATAGCAACAATTTGTAAAAGTAAAAAATGTTCATCAGTAGGGGAATACCATATTTTACTTGTCTATTGCCCACTGATGAACATTGGGCTTCCCTGACAGCTTTCCCTCAGTTGGTAAAGAATCCACCTGCAATGCAGGGGACCCCAGTTTGATTCCTGGGTCAGGAAGATCCGCTGGAGAAGGGATAGGCTACCCACCCCAGTATCCTGGCCTAGAGAATTCTATGGACTGTAGATAGTCCCTGGGGTCCCAAAAAGTTGGACATGACTGAGTGACTTTCGCTTTATATGATGAAAACCATTCATGAGCTAAAAGAAAGAGGCAAATCTCTTGAGTTTTAACATGGATATATCTAGAAAGCAAAATATGCAGTGTAAAAAGAAAGTTTCAGAATGTTATTTAACACATAATTTACATAAAGGAAAAATAAAATCTTCTACACAAACTACATCTGTGTATCTACATATAGTTTATATTAAAAACTAAAAACAAAAATATGGACTATATATACATCAAATTCATTTACTTCTGAGAAAAAAGGGAAGAAAACAGGGACTGAGAAAGAAACATGTGGAATTTCAAATTTGTCTTTGACATTCTTCTCAAAAACATAGTAGACAACATTAACATATTCATTTGGAGTAGTGGATATATGGGTGTTTATTATACCATCATTTCTACTTTTCTACATTAGAATTTTCATCAGTAAATCAGATACATAAAACTGCTAACTTTATTAAGTCTTTAACATTTATAGTACACAACTACATATCTAAACAAGAAAAATAATTTCTATAATACTGCCTTCTGCTCAGTCATTTTATACTGCATTATCTGAGACCACCTGCAAATTATTTATGTTGGCCTTCAAAAGCAGATTTGTACTTAGAGCAAATAAAGAAAAGTCAACAGAAAAAAAAATTATGAATTGTAACAGTTATGTTAATAGAAACCTTTAATAGTCAAAATGCAACATATAGATTGAATTACCATTTTTACTTTTAATTGGAGGATAATTATAATATTGTGATGATTTCTGCCACACATCAACATGAATCAGTCACAGGTATACGTATGTACCCTCCCTCTTAGACCTCCCTCCCCATCCCACCCCTCCAGGTTGTCAGAGAGCACTGGCTTTAGGAATATAGCAAATTCCCACCGTCTGTCTAGTTTATATATGGTAATATATATGTTTCAGTGCTACTCTCTTAAATCATCTCACCCTCCCCTTCCTGCAATGAATTACTATTTTTAAAAAACTTAATTCAAGTTTCTTTTCCTATAATAATCATAAAGAATGACTCATAAACCCTGTTAGCTGATAAACTGCCTTTTTTAATAGTCTTTTTTAATATAATTATTGTCATTATTGATGACAATATAGTCATTATTGATGACAGAAATTTAAGAACAAATTAGTCAAGAAGGAAAGCTATCATGGAATGTAGGATAAAGAATAACTTCTTCCTTTTAAAAATTAGTTGAAACTAGTATTTAATCAAAATCACAAGAAAAATAAAAGATTTCTAATGCAAATAAATTAAACAAGAGAATATTTTCTTAACACTACTAAAATAAATTTACCTTAATGTGCTGTTAATTGCTCCCAGTTTACTAGCTTGCTCACAGTCTTCTAATTCTTTGGTATTATTTGCCACTTTTGAGTACTGAAAGGAAGTTCATAGTAAGTAAGTTCAGTGATTATTATTATCTTTATCTCATTTTCCATTGGCAGAAGAGTCAGTTTGTCAATGATAACATATACTAAATGTAGATACATCTTATCATCAAAACCCCTAACATACAGAAGAAATACAAATGAAAATATGTCACAAATTTCCATCTAATAATGTGAGCAAAGACATTAAAAATATAGCAGTTTGCATTGGTATGTTGGTGATGATGTGAACTGAGAAGACCCTCTTGGGAAAGTAACTTAACATTTACACAGAGCTGCAAATATGAATAAATCCTTGAGCCAGCAGTCCTACTGCTGCATCTATATCCAGAGCAACATTTAAAAACAAGAATCACTCTAGAAAATTATTTGGTACTCTCTCATAATGTTGAGATAGGCATACCCTTTGGCCCAGCAATCTTACTTCTAAATATAGACCTAAAGAAACTCTTACATATGTGCACAATTTGACGAAAGACAAAGATGCCAGTGCGTCATTGTTTGTAATAGCAAAAACCTAAAAACAATTGAAATGTCTATCAACAGAGGAATGGCTAGTCACACAATTATACAAATATCTATACAACTGAGTATTTTACAGCTATTAAAATTTAAAAAATCTACATATATCAGCAGAGATGAAATGTTAAAAGCCAAACTGAGTAAAACTATTAAGTAAAGAATGTTTTTAACTTGAAGAAACACAAAATATAAATTTATTTTAAAGTTTCAAAAATTTCAAGTAAAAGTTCTATATATTACTTGTAGATATGTGTGTAATACAACATAAAAAGTATCACAGAAGGATACACGACAACTTCAGCAAAGTGACTAGCTCTAAGGAGGGAGGAAATATTATTAGATAGTGGGACTGGGACAGAGTTCAGAAAGGATTTCAATTATCTTCATACTATTTATTTTAGATCTGAAACAACAATACATAAAAAAGGGTGAGCACAGAAGACTGCAAATGGTAGAGAGTATAAGAACAAAATGGAGAGAAAATGCACTAGGAAGCAGAGAGAGAGGGTATGATTATCTTGTTGAAAAAGAAGAGTAAAAACACATGCCTGATAAAACACCTGCTGATTAGGTAAACTGACACTGTAGTTATGTTTTACAGTTCTTCTAGAAGTTCTAAAAACAGAACTAAAGTATTTCAAAAGAAGCTATATAATTTAATTGTTAAGAATATATTACACCTCATGACTTGCTACAAAATTAGGGATTTGGGATTTTCAGGCAAAAATGTGTCTGTTCTCAGCTAACCATATTATGGTTCTCTTTTGCAACAGCATCAACCAGTAGGGGGCAAGTTTCACTACGTAAAGCAGAAATATTTAATGAAGAAAAGTGACTTACCTTATTAGAATTCCCAGCTTTAATGCCAACTGGAATTTTACTCTTAAAAGAACAACAATAAAAATTTAGAAAATGATCTTTATATTTCTTGAGATTTTTTTCACAGATTATGAATGCCATTATCCTAATTTAAAGACTGTTTTAGTCCACCAGGAGAAAATATACATTCATTCAAATTCTATTTTCATACTACCTCTTGAGATGAAAAGTAAAGAACTATCCCAATGTACAGGCTTCTAAATCATAGTACAGAAAACTGAAAGACAAAGGTTGTCATAATCAGCTGTAATAACTCTCAATGCAGTAAATAATAGTTTATATAATTTTTAGGTTCAAAAAGACCCTAGCAAAATCACTTTTTCCAAAAACTTTCTTTCCACAGAAGCTTCTTAAAAATTCAAAATTATTTGAAATTTATCATGTTCAATTAAAAGTTTTGCTTTTAATTTAAAGTTTAGATAATTTTGAATTAATACTAAAAAGCAAGAGTAAGTTCTTTGACAGAACTGTGGTTGGCTAGGGGGAGGGTGTGGGGGAGGAAAGGATTGGCAGTTTGGGGTTAGGAGATAAAAACTACTGTATGAAAAAAAAAAAAAAAAAAAACTACTGTATGTAGGATGGATAAACAACAAGGCCCTACTGTATAGTATAGGGAGCTAAATTCAGCATCCTGTGAAAAAACAAAATGGGAAAAAATATAAAAAAGTATTAGATGTATAACTGAGTAACTTTGCTATACAGCAGAAATTATCAACATTGTGAACATGATGTAATGTCTAAACAACAAAAGCAACCACACTTCAATAATTTTTTTTTAAAGAGTAAGCTCTTTGGTTCATGATTAACCTAAAGGTTTACCAATGTAAGAACTGCATCAGTGTTAAGAACTGTATATAGGTCTATCTTTTCTGTAAAACCAATAATTCATTTCAAGCATAAATAAATCTATGAATCATTACAACTGGGTTATCAAACACAATCTTAAACAAAAATTATATCTGAAAGCAGACAGTCTCGGGGTGATCTTCGGATCATAACAGGGGACTGATTTCCAACATCTGAATCTATGGATTATCAAATTAATAGCAAATTACCTATTAAAACTTTTTCATGTTTCATAGATAAAACTTAATCAAATTTTCAGAATAAATATTTTTCTGTCAGGCTGAAGAATGTAAGTAACAATAATGATAAAAATTTTTCCCCAATGAACAAAGAGATCAAGTAGTAAAACATTACTTGCTGCCAATATTTTATTTCAGTGTCTTCTAGCACCACTAACAGAGGGCAGAAGAGAGAAAACTATAAAACTCAAGCCAAATGTAACAGTTACAGTTATCAGACCCTGAATTTAAAGTATGAAATACTTATCAAAAGTGCCCTCTCACTGTTGTCTTCTAACTCACATAATATGCTAAAATAAAAGTGTACTTGCAGCTTTTTAAAAGGTTTGATGCTAAATGCAGTAACTTGTAACTTAAGTGAATCTTAATACAGGCTATTGAGAAATATTGGGATAGGCACCACAGATGATAGTCATGTATAACATAAAAATCACAAAAGGGAATTATTAAAAGCAATGACAAATGTAAAGCTCATAACTAAAATCAAACATGAAATAAACCTCGCCATTGCCACTGAGAATATGAAGCAGTCTGCAAATTACAAAATTAAGTGAGCCTCATGATTAAACTAGACTTCAAATTATAGAATGCAAACTGCAACTCCATATCATGACAAGTTCAGGTTCAACATGAAATGCCTACTAAATTCTCCCCCAAAGAGAGGGAAATACAAATATCCTCACATTAGTTAAAAGAACCAACATAAAGGGATAGCTTTTATCTCCAGAAAGAAATGAAAGAAGATGGCATTGGGAAGGGAAGAGACAAATTTTTAAATACTTGTGTTAGATTTCTTATGTTGGGGATTTACATGCAAATAAACACTTTCACTTATTTTTGGTAGAAATTTAAGACTACAAGACAGAGGAGAAATACTGTATGACATCCTCTATATGTGAAAGACTCACAGACTTAAGAGGATGAACTTACGGGGGCAGGGCAGAGGGAAGAGACAGGGAGCTGGGCTGGGCATGGACACACGGCTATATTTAGAATGGGCAACCAACAAGGACCCGCTGTACAGCACACGGAACTCTGTTCAATGTTATGTGGCAGCCTGATGGGAGGCGTGTTTGAAAGAGAATGGATACATGTATATGTATGGCTGAGTCTCTTCACTATTCACCTGCAACTATCACACCACTGTTAATTGGCTATACCCCAGTACAAAATAAAAAGTTAAAAAAAAAAAAAGAAATCTAAGACTACAGAGTATAAGCCACTGTAGACAAAAAGAAACTGATATTTTAACATAAAAACAACTTAGAAACATATACTGTGCAAAGTAACTCTTACAGCTCAGCAATAAAATGGCAACTCAATTTAAAAATGGGCAAAGTATTTGAACAGACATGCTTTTGATGAATACATACAAATGGCTAATAAGCACTGAAAAGATGCCTGATATCAGGGAAATGCAAATCAAAAGCAAAATGAGATGCCATTTGTAAGGACGGCTAAAATAAAACATAATACAGAGAACTTCCCTGGTGGCACAGTGGATAGCAATCTGCCTGCCAATGCAGCAGACATGGGTTCAATTCCTGGTCTGGGAAGATTCCACATGCTGCAGAGCAACCAAGTCCATAGGCCACAACTACTGAGCCTGTGTGCCGAAACTACTGAAGCCCGCACACCTGGAGCCCGTGCTCCATAACAAGAGAAGTCATGGCTTCCAAGCCCATGCACCACAATGAATAGCCCCACTTGCCGCAACTAGAGAAAGCCCATGCCAAAAAAAAAAAAGAAAAAAATGATAAGACAGCAGTAAGTGTTGACAAGTATGCACAGAAACTGGAGCCATCATACATTGCTAGAGTCCATGTAAAATGATGCAGCCATAATGGTTAACAGTTTGGCAATTCCTCAAGAGTTAAAGTTACTATATGATCTAGCACTTTCACTCCAAAGTATACTTAAGAGAACTGAAAAACATATGTACACACAAATATCTGTGCCTAGATATTTATTCATAATTCATAGTAGCCAAAAAGTGGAAACAATCCAAATGTCCATCAACTAATAAATAAACAAGATGAGGTATACCCATCCAATGGAATATTACTCAGCAATGGGATGAAATACTGATACACACTATAGCATGGATGGACCTTCAAAACACTATGCTAAGCAAAAGAAACGCCACAAACGATCACATGCGGCATGGTTTTACTTACATGAAGTGCCCACAATAGGCAGATGCATAGAGACAGAATGGACCAGTGGTCCCAGCAGGAGAGAGTGAGAAACAGGGATGACTGCTCACGGGCAGGGCTCCCCACAACTAGAGAGTGGCGGCTGCTGTGCAGCTCTGCAGCACACTAAAACCCGCTGAAGTGCGCACTGTAGAGTGAGTGACTTCTGTGGCAGGCGAGTTATGTCTGAGCAAAGCTGTTACTAAACCATAATGATAGCAATGGTATTAAAATAACTCGCGTTCATACTGGCATAAACATACAATAAATAAAGGAAAAGCTCTTTATGCAGTAGAATGTCAACTAATGTAGAAGAAACTGAATCAGAAAAATCACTACTGGACAATCATCATATAAATAATTAATTCAGGCAAGAATCATGAGTGGATGCTAAAACCACGATGGTAAAAATACAATAAAAAAACTGGATGTTTTCATAGTTTCAAAAAATGTTTCCCAGTTTACCATGAAGAAATACAGCCATGCAAGACTAATCCTGCAATCATGATGATGTGATGTGCCCCCCAGTAGGACACTGAGAAGGACACGCCATCCCTTCCATGCTGTCCTGTCCAGAGTGCATGACCTGAATGCAACCATCAGAAAAGGCCAGAAAAAACAAAATAGGTAGTCTCAAAATAACTGGTTTATTTTAAGGAAGGAGGAAGGGAAAAAGGAAAGGAAGGAGGGAAGGGGTTTGTTAAAGAGACAACAAAAGAGAAAGAAACACTGAAGGACTATTCCAGATTAAAAAAGACTAAAGAGATATGATATCCAAATGCAAGGTATGATTCTGGGTCAGAAACTTAGTTGTTATTGTTGCTATTTCTGTAAAAGCACATTATTAAGTCAGCTGGTGATCTGTGATTAAAGTCTATAGACATTCAGTTCAGTTCAGTTCAGTCGCTCAGTCGTGTCCGACTCTGCAACCCCGTGAATCACAGCTATAGACATTAGTATTATATAAATATTAATTTCCTGATTTTGTTAATTACACTGTGGTTAATAATCTTGTCTTTTAAGAAATACACACTGAACTATTTAAGGATAAAAGATCATGTTGGTAACATATCTAAATGGTTCAAAAAATAATAATATTAATATATACATATAGATAGAAGAAGAAAGGAAACTTGGTCACATTTAACATTTGGGGAAATGTGGATAAAAGTATATGGGAATTGTTTGTACTACTCTTGCAACTTTTCTGTAGGTCTGAAATTATTTCAAACTGAAGAGTTAAAACATTTTATTCTTAAAGGAAAACGTAAATAATTTTTAAAAGAAAGGACATTGGTTCAGATGTTTTTTCCTGTTTGTAAGGCAAAAACTAGACTAACTGATTTTAGGTAATAGAACAAAAAGAGTAAAATGAAAATACAGCTTATAACTAATTACTGTCAAAAGTGAAAGTGAAGTCACTCAGTCATGTCCGACTATCTGCGACCCCATGGACTGTAGCCCACCAGGCTCCTCCGTCCATGGGATTTTCCCAGCAAGAAACTGTCAAAGAGGAATATAATTCAAAAATTAAAGTCTGAACTGTAGCATTCCCCTACTAATAAGTACAGCCCTTTTTCCTCCCAGTGTAACAAGACCAAGTGAAGACCTAATGCCAAGCTTTGAATTTCCCAACTTTTGGCACTCTAATTCCTACTCTAAATTTGAAATTTAAGGTCCAGTAGCATTTTCTTGGAGAAGCCAATGGCACCCCACTCCAGTACTCTTGCCTGGAAAAATCCCATGGACGGAGGAGCCTGGTAGGCTGCAGTCCATGGGGTCCCTAAGAGTCAGACACGACTGAGCGACTTCACTTTCACTTTTCACTTTCACACATTGGAGAAGGAAGTGGCAACCCACTCCAGTGTTCTTGCCTGGAGAAACCCAGGGACGGGGGAGCCTGGTGGTCTGCCATCTATGGGGTCGCACAGGGTCGGACACGACTGAAGTGGCTTAGCAGCAGCATTTTCTTTGCCCGTGAAACAAGATGCAGATTTAATAAAGCATGAAATAACAGCCAACTGTAGATCCTGTCTTAGAATAGGCCTCCATTTTAGAATCAGACTCTAGTTCTACATCTAGTCACCAACATCACTGGATACATGAGTGTCTTCAAACGCATTTTGGTGGCAAGTACAGACTAAATCTTCCATAACCTGGTTAAAAAGAAGAAAGCTGAGGGCATGTGAATCTGATGCCAAGTCCAAACGCTTTGACATAAGCCTGAAATTTAGAGTTCATGCTTATCTAAAAGCCCTTCTTTTCTTGATTTTTAAAAAATTTATTTTACCTCAGGGCAAGGCTCCACATGACAGTCTTTTATTGAACAATGGCCATCTTCTGCCCAGAAAGGACATGGTCGCTTCAGGTTAACCTTGAGAGAAAGAATGAATGAGCATCAGTCAACATGTGTCACAGTCTTACAGTGCTAAGTATCACTGTGCTGGGCACCAGGGACCTGGTGGTGAAGGAAAAGCATCCTACCCTGTGGCATTTGTACAGTTCAGAAGTTAAACCACTCAAGTTTTTCAGACATCCAAGGTCTAATATAAATTTTTAAAAATAAATGCTATTAGTCCTCTGACACTTCAAAAAGGAATGAAGTCCAAGCATACTGCTCATCTGAAGAACCTAGAAAGCATTATAGGACCACTCTATAATGTCTCCCATCTCCATACCATCACCCACTGGCCAGGTTCTCCCAGGCACCCACTCCCTTAATAGACGTGCACTGAGCACCCATTCTGCACCAGGCTTGTGTAGGCTCCAGAGGCAGAAAAAGTACACCCTCCCTGCAGCTTATAGTCTCCTGGGGGAACCAGGAATCACCTATTTGAGTGTTTATTTAATTACAAATTCTGGCAAGTACTACAAAGGAAAATCCAGAGTTCTGTGATGGAAAATATCCAGGCTGGTGGCTGGAGGCATCTGAGGGGGTGGTGTCTTAGTTGGTGGAAATGTGTGTACGGAAAGGTAACAGAACTGGGACAGTTCTGGGAATTGAGAAGCTGACTTAGTTTCACTGACTTTTAGAGGGGAAGGCGGGGAGCGGCAGGGAATGAGGGAGAGATAGGAAAGACTATGCAGGACATGTCAGCAGGGACAAACTCTGGTTTTCATATTCTAAACCTAACGGGAAGGCACTAATTCAAGAGGACCTCCATGTGGATTGCCCAAGCCAAAACTCAAAGCTTTATTCTTATTTCTGCCCTTTTCTTTATCCCCTGAAAACAATTCATTGTTCACTTTTCACTGTCTCTTCTGTCACCACCTGCCCCTGTCCTGACTACTGCAAGTCTTCCTGCATCTACTGCTATCTAGTCTCTAACATAGTAGCTACAATCAGCTCTTTGAAACACAATTCAGAGCATACCAAGGCCTGCTCAAAACTGTCCCACAGCTTCCCATCACCTTTAAAGTAAATCCACAGGCCCTCCATCGCCTGGCCTCCTACCACCTCTCTGACCTGTCCCCTCCCACAGACCTGCAGGCGAAATGGCCTTCTGGCTGGGAGCACACCACGTTCCTCCCTGTCTCAGGGCCTTTTCAGTGGCTCCTGCAGATCTTTGATGGCTCAATCCCCTCACCTCCTTCAGGGTTCTCTCAAAGATCAGCTCTGCAGAGAGACTTTTCTGACCAGACTCTCTAAAGTAGTGTCTAGTATGTGCCCTACACACTGTATCATTATAGCATTTATCACTGCCTGAATATTACCTACTTATTGTCTGAGCCCCTCACTGTAAGGACAGGGATTTTACCTGGCTCATTATTTTACCCCGGTATCTACAACACACAACAGACACCTCAATAAAATAAATGTGAGGCGAGGTAAGCCATACCCAAATCAGCTGGCACCCTTGGAAACTGCAGGTGCCCCTGGGCTGCTGGCTTGTAAAGCTAGCTCCTCCCTGACACCCCCACAGGACAGGCACAGGCATCTCAGATGTACTAAGACACCCCAAACTGTGCTCTGCCCTGTAGTGATTCTTGCCATCTCAGTAAATACCAACTCCATTATTCTAGTTCTTCAGACCAAAATCCTGGATCACCCTAACTCTTCTCTCTCCCCACACAGATACCTCTGAAAATCAGGTCAGGTCAAAATCCAAGTCCAATTCAGTGGCTGAGAGCCCCTCCCACGGGCTGATTCCCTAGTTTCCTGCCCCTCGTGCACTGGCCTCCTCCTGCTGTTCCTCAAATACATGAGGCACACCATGGTCCCTGAGCCTTGACTCTTGTTCCTTAGATATCCACAAGGCTTGCTTTCTCATTCCCTTGAGGGTTGCTCCAATGGTACTTTCTCAGCTTGCTGTTTTACGTTGCTACATTTTAGCCTAATCTGTTACACAGTGATAGATAATTAATACAAAATGCAAGGCTAGGCTGTGCACACACTGTAACAGGCTGCTCAGGTTACCCTTCCGGAAGAAAGGGCCTCTACCCCAGGCCTGGAAATGTTGCAGGCAGCCAACCTTGGCTAATGAGAGCCACTTTGCCCAGTGTCACTACATCCAATGACTGGTGTAAGGAAATAAAGGGCCAGACATCCCCCTGAAGTGGGGACAGCTCTGGGGGGTGTACTATCTTAAGAACTCCCCACAAGGGGCTTCCCTGGTGACTCGGTGGTAAAGGACCCACCTGCCAATGCAGGAGACACAAGTTTGGCCCCTGGTCTGGGAAGATCCCACACGCCTCAGAGCAACTAGGCTGGTGTGCCACGACTACTAAGCCTGAGCGCTAGAGCTCAGGAGCTGAAACTACTGAGTCCACGAGCCACAACTACTGAGGCGCAAGCTCCAGAGAAGAGCAACGAGAGGAGCCACCACAAGGAGAAACCTGAGCACTGCAACTGAGAGCAGCCCCCAGTCACTGCAGCTAGAGAAAAGCCCTCACAGCAACGAAGACCCAGCACAGCCAAAATGAAATAAATACACTCAAAAAACTAAGAACCCCCGCAAAGCGTCACCCGAGGCCACAGCTTTATTTCCCCCTTCGCCCGGTCCTGACGCCTCCCTTCCTTTCCCTTCTCTACACCGTTGTTTCCCAGAGCTGCCCCCAATTAACCTCCTGGACACTAAGCACAGTCTCAGAGTCAGCTTCCCAGGAACTTAACCTGGGACAACTTGTCCAGCTCCAGAAAGATAAACTACTGCTATTTGGGGGGATCACATTAAATGTATATATTAACCCTGGGGCTTCCCAAGTGGCTCAGTGGTAAAGAATCTGCCTGCCAATGCAAGAGACACAGGAGACACAGGGTTGATCCCTGGGTCAGGAAGATCCCCTGGAGAAGGAAATGGCAATCCACTTCAGTATTGTTGCTTCAGAGACAGAGAAGCCTGGTGGGTTACAGTTCATGGGGTTGCGAAAAGTCAGGCACAATTTAAGGACTGAACCACAACATGGGGGAGAGGTAACATCTTTATGCTACAAAAGACATCTGCCCATTTGTTTGAGCCTACTTCTGTGTCTTGAGGAAGTGTTTTGAAGCTTTCTTCTTTTAGAAATAATAAATATATTTCTTGATTGATTTATTCCTGTATATTTTATCTTTTTTGCTAATGTAAATGGGGATTTCTTCTCCATTGTATCTTCTAACATTGCTCGTATTTATGAAGATATTGATTTTTCAATATTAATTTTTTTTCAATATTAAATGTATAACCTGCTGTCTTAATGTATTTTTTATTTGTGTGCAATGTATTATTTAGAATTCTCTAGGTCTACTTTTGTCATTTATACATGGACATGGCTTTATTTATCCTTTTAAGAATTTTATGTCTCTAGTTGCTTTTTTGTGTTCCACCCTATTGGCCAATATGGTCCAATATTAAATGAAATAGTAGGTGCTATTTCAACATCTACTGGAATAAGGCATGGCAACCCACTCCAGTATTCTTGCCTGGAGAATCCCATGGACAGAGGAGCCTGGCGGGCTACAGTCCATGGGGTCACAAAGAATCAGACTGAGTGACTAAGCACAACACACACACACGTGCTATTTCATTTAACGGTCCAGTATTAAAGGAAACAGGAGGTGCCCTTTCAGCATGGTTCCTGATTTAAGGGAGAATTCTAGTGTTTCCCCACAAGTAAGATGCTGCCAATGCTGATTTACGACTGAAATTATCACGGTAAAGAATATGAAAAGTCAAAGTGAAAGTCAGCCACACAGTCGTGTCCAACTCTTTGCAATCCCATGGACTGTAGCCCTCCAGGCTCCTCTGTCCATGGAATCCTCCAGGCAAGAGTACTGGAGCGGGTTGCCATTTCCTTCTCCAGAAAAAATTATGGACACTTCCTTATCATCTTTTCTTTTTTTTCTTTTAGGCACCAAAATTTTTAATAACCCACCTTCTTCCTCTCTTTTAACATTATAAACCAAATTAACCTCTTTTTGACCCAGTGTTATGATGGGAACCATCAAGTTACAATGTGCTTTTACGTTTCTCTGGCCCCTCTTAACCACTGGCTATCATTCCTCTTGTCTTTCATCATTTTTAAAAGTCAGAATGTGTACTGAATCTTGTTGAAGACCTAAAAGTCTCATCTTTACATTCCTGGAATAAAATCCACTTGGTCATGATATATTTTTTTGGTAACACACGCAAAACTTAGACATGAAATCATCTTTGATTTCACTGTTACTGTCACATCTTACATTCAATCCATCAAAGAAGTGTTGTATTACCTTTTACATATGACACCAACTGGATCATTTTTCACCTCTTCCAACTCTACCACCTTATTCTACATCCACATCACCTTTCATCTGAACTACTGCAATAGCCTCAGAAATCACTTCTCCATTTCCTGTCTCCCACCCTTACTGTCTCTTTTGCACAATTTCCTCCAATAGCTTCCTATCACACTTTATGTGATAATACGGCCCTCCAGTTTTTTAAAAGTCACTGTTTAATTCTCAAATTTTGATTTAAATGCTTAGATGAAAGCATAGTTTTATTTTATTTTTTGGCCACACTGTGTGGCATGTGGGATCTTAGTTACTGATGAGGGATTAAACCTATGCCCTTGGCAGTGAGACCACGGAATCTCTACTACTGCACCACCAAGGGAATTGCCTAATTTTTTTCTTTTTAAATCAGGCCCCTAACTACCTCTCCAATTCTCCCTCTCATTCACTTTCCTCCAGCTATACTGGTCTTCAAATACCTTACGGCTTAATACCTGTAGTTCTACTCCCCTTCCCCAAAATGTTCTTTTTCCAGATCTTGTCATGGTTTACTCTTTCACCTTAGGTAGGTCTTTGCTCCAATGGTACAGCCAAAAATGCCTTCCTTTCCTGACCACCTTCTGTAAAACTGGGCTATCTACCTTCCCCAACCCTATTATTTCTCTTACTTTATTTTCCTCCATAACATTTACATTATCACAGGAAATTATATTTTATTTCCTACTTGTTCAAGGTTTGTCTCTCTAATCATAATAAAAAGTTTCATAAGTTTGGAGGCTTTGTTTTATTCACTTTATCCACAGCACCTAGAATACACTCTGCTACAAAGTAATTTGATAAATATTTGGTAAATAAAAGAATGGAATGGACAGTAGAAGACAGAAAATATAAATACCAGCTATAGCAGCCAACTGATCAGCTGTCAGAGGTTAGGCTCTTACTTCTACTTGTATTTCCTTGCTAGATGAATCAAAACTATGTATGTGTGTTTATTTTACTTATTTATTTATTTTGTATGTGTGTTTAAAATTAACCTTTTCTCTTAGCTTTCCTTTTTTTTTTAATTCATATGTTGACAGAATTCGAAGAGTAGATAGCACCCAAACATCTTAGACTTGAAGCTAACTGATTAACTAAATCATTGCATTACCCTCTAGGAGAGGGTATGAATACACTGTGGTTACATTCAGAGTAATTTCAGTATGTTGGTTGGAACATATTTAAAATCCCATGCATAAGGATGAACTGTATGTTGGCTAGCCAAGCACACTGTTATTTCTGCCTACTTGACTTTCATTTTTCCTCCTTCTGTAACATCCCCTAATTTTCCTTTGAGAAACAATTTGCAAATATGCAAATACAAATAGGACTATTAACCAAATTGTCTTTTGGTCAAGGGGGAAGGCTATGTAACCCTACCAAGATCAATTTAGACCTTTCCTCCCAGAAATCTGACTCTTGTATAATATAAAAACATAGGGCAATGGTTAATTTAATTCAAAATTTTGGTATCACAAACAGAATGGCCATTAACCCCTGCTATAATTTTTTGTCTCATCTGAAATATACTTCTTTAGCTTATCTTTCAATTTTGTGAGCTGCCTCACATTTCTTAATAAAACTTCTGTTTTGTTTGTAAGCCAAATAAAGTACGCTACCTTAGGATATGTAAACCATTGTTTCTTTTTTGGAAAATGTGGATGATGTTGACCTAATAGGATTTCAGTGTAACGAACGATTAAATGAGATATTCATCCACGTATTTGAATATTTGAGTGCTTATTATTGACCAGATGGGTGAAGATACAGAAACAGAAGAAACAATTCCAAAAAGGGAGGGGTGGGAGAATGAGGCCACGACATTTCGAATGGACATGTGATCTGGACATTCCATGAAGGGATGATCTTTGATAAAAGGAACACTTCCTTCATTGTATTAGGCTGAACCATATGAAACAGGCAATAGTCAACCTTTCCAACTTCTAAGAGCAACAATTTCATATGGGTAAGCCTAGTAATAGGAAGCAAGAGAAAACAGTTACAAATGCAAACAGACATAAATTTTGGACTAAGAATTAGAAAAAGGTATTCTAACCTGTGTTGTTTGTATGAAAAATGTCTAAAATATTAGAACAGTTTGCTTAGGCATAGATTTCTTTTTGAAATAAGTTTATGGGATCTTCATCTTTAAAGGGTTTTGTATTGAGGAGATATATCCACTTTTTTGTATATTCTTAGTGCTGATGGGAAAAGGGGACGGGTTCCCAAATCTTTAGGTCTCTACTTTGATATCTTTCTGTACAACTTAAAACTTCACATACAGTATATTTTTTAACTCTCAAAGTTATTTAAAAGACTAAGATAACCTATACAGAAACAGGATTAAAAAAATCATGCTCAATTTTAAAAATAAACTAAAAATGAAAATCAAAGAAAGTATAAACCCAAATGAATACTGAGAGCAAGAGCAGAGGCAAAAAAGTATAACAGCAGCTTTTAAACTATTGTTCTTTTGAATCTGTGTTATTGCTACTGCCTGTAAACTACCACTGGTTATTCTGTGAAGGTCTAGAGTGGGCTAGCAGACTTAAGAACCAATGCTGCAGTCACTACAGTGCTGTTCTGCTTATGTCCTCAGGCTGTTCTAGCACTCCTCCTGTGAGCTAACCAACAAAGACATTTGTCGGGACTTTGCACGTGAGAGTTGAACTATAAAGAAAGCTGAGTGCCGAAGAATTGATGCTTTTGAACTGTGGTGCTGGAGAAGACTCTTGAGAGTTCCTTGGACTGCAAGGAGATCCAACCAGTCCATCCTAAAGGAGATCAGTCCTGGGTGTTTATTGGAAGGACTGATGTTGAAGCTGAAACGCCAATACTCTGGCCACTTGATGTGAAGAGCTGACTCTTTTGAAAAGACCCTGATGCTGGGAAAGATTGAAGGTGGGAGGAGAAGGGGACAACAGAGGATGAGATGGTTGGAAGGCATCACTCAATGGACATGAGTTTGGGTAAATTCCAGGAGTTGGTGATGGACAGGGAGGCCTGACGTGCTGTGGTTCATGGGGTGGCAAAGAGTCGGACACAGCTAAGCGACTGAACTGAACTGCACCTCTAACACTGATAGCACACAACACTGCCAACAGCACAACTTCAAGCCTGGGTAAGTGTGTCTAGATGACAAAACCTAACTCACAAGGAAGGCTGACAAAATAAGTCTCAGGTATTTTCAATGTCTACAGAGGAATGAGTCTTTGCACCTGAAAATCCAAACTGACCAATGAGAAATTCCCCAAACACAAGAAGGGAGTTCAGATCTGTAATGTTCAAAAAGACTAAAAGGCTTTCACTACAAGAATTAATACAGTCCAGTGATAAAGGATATACACAGAGTGCTGAGAAGAATAGAAAAGGATTTTCCCGAGTCATAAAAGTCACATCTGTAGAAAGCTATAGAAATATCTTCAGTACTGATGGAATCAAAAGTTATACCATACCTTGTAATAACGAAAATAGTCTCGTTCTTGCAGCTTTTTTATTTTGGGGAAGATTTTGAAGGTGTTGAAGTTATCAATGCTATCAATGTCACACAAGCAGTCATCCAAGACTCCGGTGACCTAGGGAAAAAAACACATATATAATAGAAAAGGTGTAAATTAATGTTTCAACCTTAGAAAATCTGTACTATTATGTAATAAGATAAATTATGCCTTCAACTTAGTATTTGCTGATTAAGATACATAACATTTAAAGCTGTCACTTTTTACAATGGTCAGTTAAATAAAAAGCAACAGAAGGATTATATATACCCACTCTGAAGAAATAAACATTCTTGTTCAGTGGTCAAAAAGAATGGTATTGAATACTCTCACCCTTGTCTAAACATATACAGAATCCAAACAGTCACTGGAATACTAAGGCAACTACTTCCAAGATTAACCTGGAAATCACAGGCTGTAATAACACTGCTGCAATAACTCTATCTTTCTTTTAGATTCTAATTTATGGAACCCTTTTATGACAGACATGATGCTAAGAGCACTACATATGTTAACACATTTACCCTTTAAATACCTTATGAAATGGCACTATTCTTCTCACTTTACATAAAAGGAAATTAAGGTTTAGCAAGGTTAAAATAATTTTTTCCAAAGTAGACAGAAGACTTAGTCCCAAGTCTATTGTAGTTTAAAATAAATGATCTTAACGACTACTCAAAGTAATCAAAGAAGAGAAATTGATATTTACAAAGTGAATTCAGAGTTGAAAAATTCCACAAAACATTCTTCGGCTAAATTTAAAAATGGTGCTCATTAACATGCACAACTTGGATGAATCTTTATGGAATTATGCTAAGTGAAAAAAAATTCAAACCCAAAAGATGAGATACTACAAGATTTCATTAACATTTTTGAAATGACAAAATTTTAGAAATGAAAAACAGATAACTGGTTGCCAGCACTTAGGGACTGGAGTAGGGGATGGGAGTTGGAGTGGGGAAGCAAGGAGACAGGTGTGGCTATAAACGGGCAGAAAGGATCCATGCAGTGATGACATTTTTGGGTGTCCTGACTGAAGTGGTGGACACACAAACTCATACCATGTGATATAAATGTATAGAACTAATCCACAGATATACAAATGAAACAAGTGAAATGAACATACATGATTACATCAATGTCAATGCTCTATTTATAAAATTACACTATATGTTTACAAAATGTGTGTATGTCATGTCTGGCTTTTTGTGACCCCGTGGACCGGAGCCCACCAGGCTCCTCTGGTGATTTCCTCTTCGGATTTCCTAGACAAGAATACTGGAGTAGGGTGCCATTTTCTACTCCAGGGGATCTTCCTGACCCAGGGATCAAACCCACATATCTTGCATCTCCTGCATCAGCAGGCAGATTCTTTACCACTGTGCCACCTGGGAAGCCCTTACAAAATGTTACCACGGGGGAAAAACTGGATAAAGGGTAAATGACATTTTAATGTGTTATTTCTCACAATTGCATGAACAATTATTGCAATTAAAACTAAAATTTAAAAATAAAAATGGGATTCAGCCTGTTAAAGGTTATTCATGTGATCCACAGGAGTAATATATGCAAAGAATGATTTAAAAAATGGAAACTTTCTAGTTGTTTCTGTCTCATACTGTTTCCCTGGGAGTGTAAATGTGTCCCATTTACACTCTAGGCCCCTAAATAATAATAGGGGAAAAAAGGAAACAAAATACATACCAAAAAGCTTTTTAGGCTTTAAAAATACTTTACCCAGTAAGAATGAGTGAGTGCTCATTCTTACAAATTTTTCTTAAATTGTTGACTTTTAGTTAGTAAACTGCAGCATTTACAAACATATTATTTGTGGTAGGGGTTGGAGTAAGGTATACAGAATTACCATGTACTTATTTCTAACTTCTAAAGACTACTATTAAGACAAAAACTTTGTGTATAACCAAATTTTTAAAAATTAGATAGGAAAAAAAAATAAAAGGCATCCAAACTGGAAAGCAAGAAGAAAACTCTATTTGCAGACGATATGTACAGAAAATCCTAAAGACTTCATTCACTGAAACAGTTAGAACTAATACATTCAGCAAGTTCCAGGACAGAAAATCAATATATGAAAATAGAGTACAGTGTTTCCATACACTAATAACAAACTTTCAGACAAAGAAATTAAAAAATAATTCACTTACAATCAATTACATTGAAAAGAATAAAATAATATCAAAGGGAAAAAATAAACCAAGTGGTGAAATGCCTATAAACTATAATATATTGATGGAAAATGTTGAATAAATGGAAGGCTATTCCATTCTCATGGATTAGAAAAATATTGTTAAAATGTCCTTAGTACTCTAAGCAGGATAAAGACTCAATACATCCCTGTCAAAGTTCCAACAGCATTTTTACAGAACAGTCCTAAAGATTTGTATGGAACCATAAAAGACCTAGAACAGTCAAAGCAATCATGAAAAAGAACAAAGATGGAGGCATCATGAGCCCCAATTTCAAACTAGATTACAAACCTATAGTCATCAAAACAGTATGATACTGGCAGAAAAACAAACACAGAAGAACAAAACAGAATAAAAAGCCCAGGAAGAAGCCCATGAATATATGGTCAATTAATATTTGACAACAGAGCCAAGAATATATAATGGGGAAAGAACAGTCTTTTTAACAATCTTGAGGAAACCAGACAGACAGCCACATGCAAATGAATGAAATTGGACCACTACCTTACAGCATACACATTTGAAATTAACTCAAATGGATCAATGACTTGAACATAATAAGACTTGATACCATAAAACTATTGGAAGAAAATACAGATTTTAAGCTCCTTGACATCAGTCTTGGTGATGACTTTCTGGATTTGATACCAAAATTAAAATGTAACAAAAGTAAAAATAAACAAGTAGGACTATGTCAAATTAAAAAGCTTCTGTAAAGCAAAGCAAAACCACTAACAAAATGAAAAGACAACCTATGGAATTGAAGAAAATATTTGCAAATCATATCTAATAAGGGGTTAATATCCAAAATATATAAAGAACTCACACAACTCAATAGCAAAAAGCAATCTGATTAAAAAATGAGCAGAGGAGGCTTCCCTGGTGACTCAGTAGTAAAGAATCCACCTGCCAATGCAGGAGGCACTGGTTCAACCCCAACCTGGAAGATCCCACACGCCAAGGAGCAGCGAGGCCCCTGCACCACAGCTACTGAGCGAAACCGAAAGCCCTAGAGCCCTTCAGCAAGAAAAGGCACCGCAGTGAGAAGCCCAGGCACCGCAACTAGAGAAAAGCCTGTGCGGCAATGAAGACTCAGCACAGCCAAAAATAAATGAATAAATAAAAATATTTTTAAATGGGAAAATATTTTTATTTAAGGATCTAAATATTTTTCCAAATAAGACATATGAATGGCCAACAAGTACAGAAAAAGGTGCTCAATATCACTAACATCGGAAATGAAAATCAAATCTATAATGAGATATCATGTCACACCTGTTAGAATGGCTATTATCAAAAAGACCAGAGTAACAAGTGTTGGTGAGGATGTAGAGAAAAGAAAATCCTTGTGCACTGTTGGTGGACTGTAAATTGGTGCACCCACTATGGAGAAGAGTATGGTGGTTACACAAATACTTTAAAATAGAACTACCACAAAATCCAGCAATTTCACTTTTTGGTATTCACCTGAAGAAAACAAATATACTAACTCAAAGATATATGTAGCCCCATGCTCATTGCAGTATTATTTACAATAACCAAGTATGGAAGTGACCTAAGTATCAATTGAAGGATGAATAAAGAAGATGTGGGATATATACACAATATACCCAGTAATGGGAAAAAAAAAAATCTGGCCATTTGCAACATGGATGAAACTTGAGGACATTGTGCTAAGTGAAATAAGTCAGAGAAAGATAAATACCCTATGATCTCACTTTCATGTGTAGTCTAAACAGAACAAAACAACAACAAACCCAAGTTCATGAATACAGAGAACAGATTGTAAAGGATATCTGATTTTTTTTTTTTTGCACTAATGAGGTACAAAGTTCTAATGTTTTATAAAACACTTGTCTTTCTGCTTGTGCAAACTTTCTGCTCATATCTTCTGTTCGTTTTTCTACTGGGTTGTCTTTTTCAATGTAGTAATCAATATTGCTTTTTCCCTATTCTATTTTAACCTCTGGAACTCATCATACTAGACCTTCTTATTTTATTCTTCATGTTTCTTAAGCTCTATATAGCATTTACTATCCTGTTACCTTTCTGAGCTTCATTCTGAATAATTTATTTGCACTTATTTTCCATTCATTCATTCATTTACCCAACGTATTTATTGAGAGCCTAACATAAGCCCTGCACTGTCCTAAGTACTGGGGATGTAATATTAGAAGAAAGAAAAGAAAACGACAAAAATCTCTTTCCTTCAGGTGTTAACATTCTCATAGGAGAGGAAAAAATGCATCAGCAAAGTATAGAGTCTGTCAGATGATAATAAAGCAATATGGATGAAAACTAGAAAATTGAGACAGGTGTCACAAAATTGGGACTGCTCATTTTTGAAGAGAGACAGGTACAGAAGGTCTCACTGAAGTTTCAGCAAAAGTTAAAGTGGGGAAGGAGCAAATCAAGCCTTTTTTTTTTTTTTTGAAGTGGGAGGGTGAAAAGAATTCCAGGCATTGAGAATACTAAATGCAAAGGCCCTGATGCAGTAAGGCCCAATGCCACCCAAAACAACAGGAAACAACAGGGAAGATTATCTAGTAGGTTAAAGGAGAATTGGGTCTTCCCAGGTGGCTCACTGGTAAAGAATTCACCTTCCCAGCAGGTGACGCAGGTTCAATATCTGTGTTGGGAAGTCCATGGAGTTGCAAAGAGTCGGACATGACTTAGCGACTAAACCACAACAAAAGGAGAATTAGGCACCTATTATTAAAATGTTGGCTTTTCTGAGTCAAATGTTTTCCCACACCAGCCAACTCTCCAACTCTCCAGCATCAACTGGGTGCCCAATTCAATGTTGATATTATCTAGAATTGGAGTAGAATTCACAGATTAAGGGTTCAGTCACATAGGACTGCTCCCACT